ATTCTGAGAGCATCTCCTGGCCAATAGTTACACCCACCTAGTACCCTGCAGCCAGAGGTCTTCCTGAAATAAGTCCTCTCCAAACCACACATATGTGTTGCTTGCTTATCTAACGAAGATAGTCGCAGGCTGATCATCGAACAGGTCCTAACTAGAAGGTATCAGGATATGTCATTCTTAGAGTGGATTATCTTCCACAAAAAAATTCAGTCACTACTTGCGAAGCTCATATTCTCTTTTTACCTCGCAGCAAACTGAACGAGGTTTTCAGCATTTGTTATAGTTCCACTATTGCCAGCAAGCAGGTCTGAAAGGTTACCCACCAAATGAAGTAGGCGGCTTCGTTGGTAAAAGAGGTTCATTTGTTGGAGTTTGAATAGATGTGAACCAGTTGTAGTAAATGTTCGAAAATACCCAAAAACTTTAGACTTATTTACATGTTCACTATTTTACGAGCTATCTCGAATCAAAGGGGAACTACCGAAACACCATAACGATTTTATTGATGGGCAAAAGAGATGTGAAGGCATTTCAAGAATTACGAATCTAGAGCATGCTGTGCTGTGCACTATGGGACTGTGATTGGATCAAAAACTCCTCTACAGAAAGTTTGTCAGCTATCTGAATTGAACATCCTTCAACGTTCCTCATCTCTGTATTACTGCGAAAACATTTATGAGCATGATCTTTGCCCTCAGCGCAGTAAAAGCATTGAGGTTCAGATATCTCAAAGCTTCTTGGCTTTCTACTCATCCATGTTTATACGAAAAAATGTGGAAATGTGGAGGAGGAAAGCAATTAACTTCGAACTGAACCTTCTACAAATATGTGCAAATCATGCACAGGAGTTACTTTTAGATACACACTGGGATAAAAGCCTGCAAAGAAACGACTTCTACATGAAGATTGAATAACACGAAAGAAAAAGTACTTTCGAAACAACTACTTCGATATGAATATTGAATTACACAAAGAACACTCTTCTCATTCATTCTATTCTCTAAACATTCGTTATGGGATTGAAAGATTATCTTGAGATTTTTTTGTGAGACCTCAAGAGATCATAACGATCTCTTGGTTAGCGAAATGCGCGTCGAGATACGGTAATTTCTGTTCTGGTGGAAAGTGTCTTCAATAGATTTATTTTACCCTAAAGGTTCCAGTACGAACTATCAACAGGTTATATGTCCTCCGAAGCGCGCCCTCTATGTAAAATCGGAAAACTTCTTCATAGACAAGTTGATGTGATCAGGCATATTTGTTCTGCTACCCAGGCTAAGTCGGGTAGGAGAGCTAGAAGTTGAAGGGGTATTAATGATATTCAAAACATAATTACAATGATTTGCAATGCTCATTTGCAGACTATATTTGATGCAAATCAACATAATTTCCATTCGTTTATTTCCGCAATTTAACCTCTATAAGAAGGGGCGCTGTTCAAGGATTTGTTAAAAAAATTCTACCACCTACATTTCATCAACTGAAGTATATTATCCTGTGATGAGATTTTTATGAGAAAAAACTCATTTTGATCAAATTAGGAATGTATTTTGAATATGAAGCGAAATACTTCCTTCCTATTTTTTATATTTCATCTAGATTTGATATTTCTAAGCGTAGGATTTAAATTATAGGTTCCAGTTTTCTCAATGTCCCTCATCCCCATCCTGTCGATTTAAAAAATGCATAACCTTGAGACTGACAACATTATCTTTTGAGGGAAGCAGTTCGCATTTAAAAAAATTCCTTCCATTAACATTATTTTGTCAAATGAAGATGCGAATGAAAGCATTTCATTTCGACAGTGTAATGAAGAAAATGAAACATAAAAATTACTGCCTGTAACTGATCAGCTGACTCAGTTTCAAAGTCAAGTTCGTTATGAAATGTTAAGTTCACGGTTTAACCAATATATTATAGCGATAATAACAACGGGAAAAATAAACCAGCGAAGAAATTTATTGTATAAGATTATACAATTACATTGCATTCGGGCCCGTTTAGAAATCCTACATTTTTATTGCCAATTAAAGCGCATTGGGATTCAGCCATCAATGTCAATTACGAATAAAGGAAGATTACCACCAAAAGGATTTTATCTAGTTTAGCAATATTGGTGAAATTTATTGTATCACTTAGTGTTCAAGAAGATTTAATGTACTGCCGAAATGTTGGTGAATATCAGGACGCACCGATTGATTATACTGCAGTCATACCTCCAGTTTAGATTTAAAAGCATTCTCCAATATATTGAAGACTTCGATGAACATAAAAATTACAAACTCGATCAGATTTGTTTGTGTGTTCTTGTACTCAAGAAGATAATCAATATTGATTGAATACATATATATTCATGAATATAAACACAAATTGGTCACCTCTGACCAACATTGATTTCCTTTGTCTCATCATTTGTTGGTTTTATTAGCCTTCATAATTTCACTCCTTTACTTTGTACAGAATGGGCCAAATTGGACACTTTTAAAGGCAAACTCCTGTTTTCAAACTAAATAGATAAAAACTGATGGCAATATCTGGGGGTCAAATATTATGACGAACTTAATGGTAAAAACCGCATATCGATATTTATCATCATTTCTGAGTTACAGCATGTTTTTCGAAAATGTGCATTTTCTGTAACTTTTTTCCTGTCAAAAATTTCTTACTCATGATGTACTGTTTGGAACCCTTGGTGTAGTAATGAATATTACTGGAGTTTTTTCCCAACACCAAATCGTTATTTTTAACACCACGACACGTCTTTCGATCACCAAGTGATCATCTTCGAAGAGGAAGATTTGAAGATGATCACTTGGTGATCGAGACACGTGTCGAGGTGTTAAAAATAACGATTTGGTGTTGGGAAAAACTCCAGTAATATTCATTAAAATTTCTTATTTTATTAAAAACATTTCTGAAACACTTTTTCACGTAGAATTCAACGGTGTGAATAAGTTATTTTATCAAATGAGGTATCAATAATTATATTGATGAAAAACTATTTTTTTAATGGGACTCAAAATTATCTCTCCAAAAATACAGAACATTTGATGTTTTGCTAAAGTCATCTTTGAAATACAGAGTTTTAGGATTTTTCTTGTAGACTTTGAAACGCACACTTTGATCAAGTAGGCTTTGGACGACACGGCGATATAACAGAAAGGAATTGTTCAGTAGTAGCTATCAAATGTTGAGAAAGCTTTTACAGGAGTAATCAAAACGCATAGTTTCGATAAAACTGACAACAATTTAAACTATATTTACTACTAATGAATGAAACTTCAACAATAATAATAATGATAAAGAACAAACAATGAAGGTGTTCTAAATATCTACCAGCTTCTCCTACTCACAGGCGACATTTTTTTGAACGTTTTTTGTCGAATGAATGAGTTCAATAGGAGTCAGAGAAGCAAACTTTGCATCACTGTCGCTTCCAATTCGTATCAAAAATAAGATCTTCCAACCTTTTCCAGAGGTGAAAGTACATAGGCGTTAGATCCGGCGATCTGGACGGCCAACGGTGGGGTCCTTGGTTGCCTATCCAATTATTACCAGAATGTGCTGCCAAAAAATTGGCGAAAATTGCAGTGTTGTGAGGCGAAGCCCCGTCTTGTTGAAAATATATTCTTCTGAGCTCCATTGGTGGCAATTCATCAACAAAGGGTTCAATATTTAGCCATACATTTTTTTAAATACCTCTGAAATGTGAGAGTGTCATTATAAATGAACGGACCGAAAATTCCACGCTTGAAAACACCTGCCAGGAACGCTGGTAATATGTTATGCGGCTTTCAAAATCTCCTGGTCCTTTATGGATTGAATTTATGTTGTTTCAAAATTTCAAAATCCTCCTAACATTAGTTCTTGGTAGGCCTGTTGATATTTTTAAATTTCGCGTTGACGTTTTTGGTTTACTCCAATTCCTTAATCCTATTTGATTCATATAATTTCGGCCTTTTCTTTCCAAATTGACCCCCATCAATTAGACTGTGTCGCAATCTTGCGAAAATGTCTAAAAGGTTGTCTTCTCTATGGATACCTCTCTTGATACAAAAAATGATGAATTCCGCAGATAATATGGTTCGACTACCACGGTTACCATAGGCTAGGATTGTGACTGTTAGACACAACTGTGACGATATTACGATGCTATCCCGATTGGTCAAATATAATTATCATTTATTCAAAACAATGAGAGATGTAATCACTTCAATTATTTTATATTAGTTCGATATTATTGATAATTCATTTAATTTGGATAATTTCAAGAATAGGGCCATGCTTTATTATGGGATAGTGTTTTTTTCTGTATACTTTTTCCCAGGATTTACGAGTATATCTTAGAAACTTCAGCTGTGCCTCTGAATATTGGATACGCATCCAGAAATTCGTGTAAAAATCATCGTGCTAGTGAAGAAGTGAAGTAAGTGGAGAAATTTTGTGTGGCGAATTGTGAGTAATTTGTTGCCTTTGGAAATTCCTTCGAAAAGTAAACTGAAAAATAAGGTTCTCACGCTTTGCTTTAGATGTAATGAATTCATTATTTCGAAATCTGAAAGCTGTAAATGTTCTGGATAAAATTTGCTACACTTGTGATATTTCTCCGCAGTTGATGCGGTTACTTCAAAATAAAAAAACCTTTTGTTTGAATTATTCCTCTATTGGAGAAAATTGTATGAAAATCCGGTCGGCATTTTTTGAGTTTATCGTGTGCAAATCTATCTTCGAGAGAATACCAGGCAATGTTTATTCTTTCAACCAAACCACAACAATTTACAAGTCAATAGTCGGGGGGTTTCCACATAGATTTGGAAAACACGTTCGGTTAGATATCAACATCAGCGGATCAATATGTGTTTTATGTTAACGCATTTGCGATAGTTCATAACAAGAAAATATCATCACTGTGATGGTAGATTTCAAACGTCAGAATCCGCTCTCTGGTTGTCTTTATCTGGAAGGTCAATGCAAATATAAATAATTCGAGTTGCAGAAAGAGACGTGAGTGTTTAGTTGTTTCACCTTTTATGATCAGTAACAACTACTGTTGCGATATGAAAAAAGTGGTGTTTGTGCTCACATATTTTTTATTCAATGTTTTCTCGGCAGAAATTTCTAAGAGTGAGTTGTTACTTTTTATTGATCAAATCCCTAAGCCATCTAAATACAAAGCATGCTAAAACACGTATCCGTTTTCCAGTTAGTTGAGGAGACTATTGGCCTGATAAGTAATGATCAGCATACACATCTGTAGGTAACGTAAAACCATCACTCAAATAGTCTTTGGTAATGAAAGATGGAGAGCTAATTAAAGTATTCATTTCACGTTATGAAATTTGACTATTAACAAATAATATATATTCAAACGTTCAAACTCACTCTGAATCGAATATTGATCTGACTTAATAAACTGTAACACGAAGGAATTTCTCCCCGAAATATTCAAAACACATTAAAATATGGTTAAAGTTGAAGTAATCGCTTTTAGTGTACTTTCATAATATGAGAATTATAATTAGAAATTGAAAATATATTATGAATTTATTTTATTTCAATATTAAAAATATCTGAAGGGCATTTTCAAGTAATACGTTCGTGATAATACGAGAATGATACTTACATATATCCAACAAATTTATTTTGAAATCATTCGAAAACCATTCAAAATATATAAATTTCTATAAAAATCGAATATGGAATTATCCAAGGAAGTAGTTGTTTTCTGGCATTCGTTAGATCCTATTCTGTTTCGAACTTCACTGTATACACGAAGGTTTCGTAAATTGATGAAATTTATCGTAAGTGTAAGCCCACAGCACTCAGGCCATCCTGTCCTTTCCAGGAAGGGGGAGAGGTCTCTGGGACACACACACACACTCTCTTATTGACGATAACTCCGGGCACTCGCATAGGACATGCCTGACAGTCTCATCTTCCTGTTCACACATCCTGCATAGAGGTGTGTCCACTAGCCCCATATTATGGAGGTGTTTTCTTAGTTGACAGTGGCCAGTCAGAAATCCTACTGTTAAGCGTAGATTTTTCCTGGTCATCGCCAGATATTTCTTCGGCGCTAGTTTCTCAGGGTCGCCCAAGGTGATCCTGGCAAGATTGCATCCTTTGATTCCATCCCATCTCTTTAGGGATTGAGCATGGGTGTAACATGGCTAGTTCCGCAATTGTGAAAGTCATCAGGCCGTAGATGCCACTGGGTCCTAAAATTCTTAGTCCAGCCGCTTCCTTGGCTAAAGAGTCGGCAATGCGATTACATTTACTCCTGTCGTGTCCTTCAACCCACCTCGGGATAATGTTATTATCTACCAAGGCCCTGGCTGAATATTGGCGACCCTCTAGTACTAGCCCTGAGGTTACACGTTGTCTGTTCAAATCTTACAGGGCTCGTCAGCTGTCAGTTCAGATTGTTATGTTTTTGCCAGAAATTTCTTTTCTGATTATTTATTTTGTGGTGATTGAGATACCAGCCAGTTCTGTTTGAACCACGCTGGTATTTTTTCCCATTCTCCACCTAATACTTAGGCTTAGTGATCTGGAGTATACTCCATATCCTGAGCCTTCTTTGGTTTTTGAGCCGTCTGTATAAATGCGTATTGCATTTGTAGCATCTGACTCTGTGTTCTGTTCCATTTATATTTTGTAGGGTTCACTAAACACAAACCTTGGTTCAATTGCATCACTGGTTGCCTGCAGCAGAGGTTGCGCAGTAAGCGCTTCCCGCCATAGGCCCAGCCACAGTTGACTCATTTCTACTTCGAGTTTACACCAGCCGTGCGCAATCGTACCATAGCCATTAACGCAACCACCTTAACGTACAGTGTTGTTCTCATAGCTCCTAAGATGTTTAAACAAGCCAGTCGCTGTATTTGATATAATTTTTGGACGGCCGTTGCTTGCAGAACTATCGGTCCCCATGTAATGGCTCCATACGTTAACATAGGTCTTATTATTGCAGTGTGGAACCCGGTGACCACACACGCTGAAAGACCCCATGCTCGTCCCACTGTCCTCCGACATTGCTCATAAGCCACATATGCTGTTTTTGCTTTACTCTGTAGGTGAGACTTCCATGTTAGTTTCCTGTCGAGGATAGTATACCAAGGTATTTCACCTCTCCAGAGAAGTTTAGTTTGCTTCTGAAGATTTCGGGAGGTTTTAAGCCCGATAAAATTATTTTCCTGGTGAAAAGGACCATCTCAGTCTTCTTGGGATTGATCGACAGTGAGTGTTCCGTACACTATGTTTCTATAAATTTGAGCCCATCATGCGCTCTATCGCTCAGTGTGTTCACAAATTTGCCGGTCTGCAAGATAACTATGTCATCTGCATATGCAATTGTGTAGAATCCATTATTGTTGAGGTGATCAATCAGAGTGTCCAGAACTATGTTTCAGAGAAGGGGTGCTAAGACCCCTTCCTGTGGATATCCCCTCATGACCAGTCTTCTCACTATGATGTCTTCTACATTGATAATTATCAATGTAGAAGACATCATTATAATTATAATTGCAAGATTGCATTGCAAGATGATCTCTAGTAGACAATAATTATAATTATTGTTCTACTAGAGAGCATCTTGAGTATCCATTCTCCTACTACCAGGGGTACATTCCTGGAGTATAGTTGCTGGGTAATTGTTGGAAGGTTGTTTTATCAAACGCTCCCTCGATATCTATGAATATACTCAGGGTATATTCGTTGTTGACCAATGATCTCTCGATTCTGCCAACCACATGGTGAAGGACCGAATCAGTAAACCTTCCCGGAGTATATGCATGCTGCTTTGGATTAAGTGGGTTGTCAACTAGTACTAAATCTCTTTTGTACCACTCACATTGCCTCTCCATGGTTTTCAAGAAAAACGATTTGAAACTATTTGGTCGAAATGCCTTTGGTAAGGTGTAGTCCATCCTACCTCGTTTGGGTATAAATACTACTCGTACTTCTCTCCACTTACTGGGAATATACCTCAGAGCTACAGAGGATCTGAATATTCCAACCAGGTGCGGCATAACAATATCCAATACCCATTGAAGTAGGGCTGGTCTTACACCGTCAGGTCCTGGTGACTTGAAGGGGAAAAACCCCGATATGGCCCATCTTATCTCGTCCTCGTCAATTACTGCACTAGTAGATTGCCAATCATATTGTGAGGGTGTTGTTGGTACTTCCGTCCAGTTCGTCGTTCCAGGAAAGACAGAACGTGAAAATTAAGTTCCCATAAGAATCTCAGCACTCACAACACTTCCATGTTACTTGATCAGTTACGTTTGGTAGTCATGACGAATATGTCAATTCAATTTTCATCTTTCCTTTCCTTCAATTTTCCTTTTCTTTGTTCCGGTTTTAATCCCATAGTATTTATATTATCACTTTCTCAATGTTTTTGAGAGAATTTCATTCATTTCCAGAACCAGATGTACCTTACTATTGGAGAGATTACACTGGTTTCATTCCAAGTGATGCTATTCCTGGAGGACTAGACTTGAACCATGAAACGACTTATATAGGGCAAGGTTTTGTTGGAAACGTGGGAATAATTCCTGGTATCATATATCCCGGACAAAGAGAAATATATGTCCCTGAACATGGAGTCAAAAAAGTAGATACGTACGTAAAGGTGAGTTTGTAACGAATGACTCCGACTATACAATTGTTTACTTCCATCATACTCTTGTCTGTTCAAAATCTGTTATCATATTGACCAAATATCAAGTATAAACTTGTACAAGCTCAATATTTTTTATTTTTGCTTATTTTTGTGATTAATTTTTTTTTATTTCTCTTTACTCTGTGGTCAATTTCATCTTTCATCTTGGATTATTCCATTTTATAGATAATGGAAGTCTGAACTAGCAAAATTCAGTGTCTCCAATGATGCAATTGGTTCATTGTTCCTGTTATTCCACGATTCTCTAAAAGTCTACACACTTTTTCACAAACAATTTTTGTTGCATCTTTGAATTATTTTTCAAAACCAGTGATTTCCGGTACTTTCATTACCATTCTTCTTGCGACTAAGGGTGATGACCTGATGATGTTAAAGTAGGTGCCTTAGATGTTTTTTGAGCAGCAAGATCCGAGTACGAAGAGCCTGATAATTCAATGAATTAGCTTGAAATCTCGGAAACTTCAAACTTTGGACAGCTAGTTACATCAACCACTTCAGCGTCAAAGTACATAAAATAATTTCTCTTAATTTTATAGAGTAGCAGAAAGAATCATTTTCAACATTTCATTACTTTACTTTGTTATAAATTTCATTCATGAAATTTATAACAAAATAATACTACAAAAAATTATAAAACTTTATTCTCAACCAAAGTATTTCAAATTTGCAATTCACTCGTGGTCTCCATTTTTAAATGTATTCGACTGCGTTTACTTCCAGACAAAATTTTCAAATGTTCAAATATGGAATTCTCTTTCATCTTCCATAAACCATTGATTAGTTTACTGCTGCAGTTGAAAAAGCAAATGCGCCACTAGAATCAATGAAGTCGCCCCGGAGAGCCAATTAATTTTTATTGTTGATTCATAATTTCATGATTTGTATTACTTTCTTCTTTACTATTACATTTTATATTTTCACTAGTGATATACGAATGGTAATAGGTCAAAAATACGACAAAACCTGAAACTTGCCCCAGATCACTCATAAATAATTCGCTGTAGTTTTGCCTAACCTGGCAAACATATCACAAAGTGTTTTTGATAATCTTCCTTTTTTTAGATTTTGTGCAGTCCATACAAAAATGCATTCAGGTGGCATCCAGTAACTGCTTCAGATTTCCAAGTGAAGACAATAGGTAAATATTTGGTTAAAGGAGGAGTCGAAATGAACAATTTGTTGAATATCGGAAGAATTGCATTCCAGGGAGAAGTAGTGACGGGAAAAATCGTAACGAACTCTCCGGACTTCCCTGACACAGCGCCAATGTTTTTTGTACTGAAAAATCAAGAACGTGAAACCAGACAATATGAAGTGTTAATATATGATGACTTATTGAATGTAGTTAATGTAAGATCAAATTCAATTACAAAGTGATTGATTCATGACCTGTGTGTTTCGAAACAGTTGAAAGAGTTTTTGTATAAGGAGATTGTTTTTGTACTATGGTATTCCCTGATTGACTTTTTATGTTTTTTTATTCATATTTTTTTATTCGAGAGAATACATTCGATGGAAATCAAAGATTTGAAGACGAAGTCGAATTTCACACATTAAAAGTTCATACAGTAGAATTCATCCAATGAGCAGAAAGCATTCATCAATAGAAGTTTTTTTAGCACAATACTTATAAGCAGAATATCATGAAATTTCAACAGCTTTCTTTTGAAGGTTAGTACTAACTGAAAAAGCGGTAAATGTGTTAGGCCCGAGACTTTTCAGCCATACAGGGCTTTTCATGATGAGCGTTAATTAGCCGTTTCTGGCAAACTATTCAACGGATGAACCTGAAAATTCCACAGTATGCTTAAGTCAATATGACCTACAAGCCTAAAATATTTTAGACGAAGCGGCGTTGTCGCTTCTACTATAAAGTAGCGGCTTCTTTGATTTTTCAAATGGAACACCCCGTATATAATAT